GGAAAAAAAAAAAGAAAAAAAAAGAAAAAAAAAGAAAAAAGAAAAAAAAGAGACAGAGGACCCTTCTTTAGAGGGGTACAAGGTACAAAAAGAAAAAAAAAAAGCATGTCGTTGTTCGCGCGAGGAACGAACGAGGGCCTAAGCAGACGAGATTATCCAGCTCCGTTTCCCAACCGATTTTTCGATTTTATATATTTTTCTTTCTTTTTTCTCTTTCCCTGATTTTCCTTTGTTTTCGTTTCTCTTCTCTAGAGTGGGAAAAGAAAATTAATTCGACGATTTCTTCCCCGTAACGAATCTCGTAAAATCGTTCGATCTTATACGGCGCGTACTACACGCGCGATCGATCTCCACCACCATCTCTTTTTGGCTCTTAATATCACGATCGCACAGTAATCGCGACAATTTTCGTTTCAATCCTATGTGATTTTACTTTACGTGTTTCTTGCTATACGATACGCGATCGTCTGTATTTTGTCCGCGTACGGTTCAAATAAAATACGAGTATGAGATTTGTAAGAAGTAAACGATTCGAATATTATATATTCGACGAACAAACAAAGATCGAAAATTATTATTTGTTTTTTTTTTCTTTAATTTTCAATTAAATTAGCGTATATATATATATATTTATATATCGTTCCATGTATAAATAATAATTTACTCGTTATCCTTCTATGAAGTTGTAAATTTGAATACGAGTATATAAATTAAGTTTCTTCGCTCGTCTGTGATTATTTATTTCATATGATAAATGATAAATATTATTATTTCGGTTTAATTTAGTATAACGATTTACGAAATTTAATTATAAATTGTAATATTTAAAAACGATAAGTAATTAACGTATCGTATTTATTATTGAGATTAATTTTCTCTAAAGAAGAATTGCAAGTTTTGCAAAAGAAAAAGAAAAAAGTTTATTATGGCAAAAAACGTTCCAAATAATTATTATATTATAGGGGGAAAAAAAGAAATAATAATAATAATAATAAAATCATATATGTATATGGTTGCATAGCAAGGAACACGTATAACTTCGATACTTTGAGCGCTTCCACGGTTATTTATATTATGGAGGAGCGCGTACTACGTATACGAGAATGTTGCGCACATGGATCGTGTTTAAATGTAAGTAAGAAGAGAAAAGAAGGGAATTAGCATACACGCGATAAAAAAAAAAAAAAAAAAATATCTATGGAAACGCATTTACACAATTTAATTTTTACAAGCATTTAGGGGGAAAAAAAAAAGAAAGAAAGAAAAAAGCCTCGACTTTCCTAAGATTTCGCATCGACTCGATCAAAATCTCATTTTTGTCTCGAGCTATATTTCTTCGAATATTTCGTAAATTTAACGGAAAACAAATAGAGAAGAGAGAGGAAAAACATAGAATGTGTATGCGTCTGCGTCTGTATGTGTGTGAGAAAAAGAGAGAGAGAGAGAGAGAGAGAGAGAGAGAGAGAGAGAGAGAGA